AAGATCCCATTGATTTAGTGTCAAAAGAAGAGCAGGAGAGGTTGTTCCAGTCAATGTTTATCTATCAGTCATCTGGTCATTATCTCATTTCTTCTGTGGGAGCTTGCTGTGCACAAATTAGCTGTTCCCATACCTTACAACGATGACCACACTTTTAAAGTATTTAAGTGGCTATAAAGCACGTTGAAATACTCGACGGTTGTGAAAACCCTCATATACAAAAGCGAGTGTTTTCGCTTTTTAGGAAATAGTTTATACTGGCATTTAAAACATTTTTTTCCCCATTTTCTTTGTTCACTCATTGGATGTAAAAGTATTGGAGGTGTCTGATTGGGTGAGGTTAGTGGAGATGGGAGACCATGTGATGAACACTCCAGGAGTACAGCAGATTCGAGCCCACCTCTAGCAGAGTGTACTAAGTGACAGGGTGGCCTTCAGAAAGCAGTTCCGTAAAACGAACAGTGAAGCCTTGGACTCTGATGGTTAACTCAGAGAAACCCTGTCAACAGTTTCGAATGGAACTAGTACCTGCTGCCTCAGCAGTCATTGTCGCTGAGTTGCTCCTTCCCAACTTGACAGGGCCATGACCTTAACCACTCTCTGCACACTGAAGTGGGAGGGCTCCCTCTGACACTGATATACTCCCTCACTCCCCCTTCTCCCCCCAACAGGCTTACTGAGAAAAGTTAGGTAGTGAACAAGCCAGGAGCTCCACAACTGATGGAGGAAGTCAGGAAGAAGACAATCCTGTGGTTGCAAGTGCTGATCAGATCAAGACACCCGTTGTCATTTTGAAGTGTTTGACTTTTGTTCTTGTTCCTGGTTTGGTCAAACCAACTAACCTCTTCATGGTTGAGGTCATGGGTTTCACAGTTCGATGGATGAGATTTGAGTTGCACATTTATCTCTGCAAAGGAAAAAGAAATATATTCAGTTTCTATTGGCCTTTGGACAACTTCGTAAGTGTTAGATTTTTTTAAAGTACACTGCCTTAAACAATAGTGTTAAATTCAGTGTGATGAGTAGGGCAGGAGATCAGATATGGCAAGCTGAACACAATAGCATAGAATATCCATTCCAGGATGAGCCCTTACTTGCCCATCTATTCCCCCTCCCCCTCACTAACACACTGAGCAGCAATTTGAAGGAAACACCATCATAGAGTCTTAGCATCATACAGCATGGAAACATACTCTTCAGTCCCACTAGTCCATGATAACCATGTACCCAAAATAAACTAGTCCCACCTGCTTGTGCTTGGCCCATATCCCTCCAAACCTTTCCCATTCATGTACTTGTCCAAATGGCTTTTAAACTGTACCTGCATCCACCATTCCCTCTGGCAGTTCATTCCACACACGCACCACTCTCTGTGTAAAAAGGTTGCCCCTCATGTCCTTTTCAATTTTTTCTGCTCTCACCTTAAAAATATGCAGCCTAGTTTTGAAGCCCCCCACCCTAGGGAAAGGACCTTTGCTATTCACCTTATCTATGCCCCTCATGATTTTATAAAACTCTGTAAGGTCACCCTCAACCTCCTATACTCCAGTGAAACAAGTCCACCCTATCCAGCCTCTCCTTATAATTCAAACTCTCCAGGCCCAGCAACATCCTGGTAAATCTTTTATGAACCCTCTCCAGTTCAATAATATCCTTCCTAACACAGTACTCCAGAAGAGGCCTCACCAATGTCCTGTACAGCATTAGAAATCACACGACACCAGGTTGTAGTCCAACAGGTTTATTTGAAAACATCAGCTTTTGGAGCCTCACTCCATCTTGGAGTAAAACCTAATGTCGTGTGATTTCTGACCTTGTTCACCCCAGTCCAATACTGGCACATCCACATCATGTATAACGTCAACATGATGTCCCAACTCCCATACTCAAAGGTCTGAGCAATGAAGGCCTGTGTGCTATATGCCTTCTTAACCATTCTGTTCACCTGTGATCCAATTCTCAAAGAATTATCTACCTGAACCCCTAGGTCTCGCTGTTCTACAACACTACCCAGGATGCTACCATTAATTAGGTAAGTCCTAATCTTGTTTGTTTTACCAAAATGCAACACCTCACATTTATCCAAATTAAACTCCATCTGCCATTCCTTAGCTCATTGACCCAATCGATTAAGATCTCTTTGTAATTTTAGATAACCTTCACTGTCCAGTATACCACCAATTTTGGTGTCAGCTGCAAACTTACTAACCATACTTCCTAAACTGTCATCCAAATCATTTGTATAAACAAAAAACTAAAGTGGACGCAATACTGGTCCCTGTGGTACACCGTGGCCACAGGCCTCCAGCCCGAAAAACAACCCCCGACCACCATCCTTTGTCTCCTACCATAAAGCAATTTTTTATCCAATTGGCAAGCTCACCCTGAATCCCATGTGATCTAACTTTATTAATTAGTCTACCATGCAGAACCTTATTAAAGGCTTTACTAAAGTCCAAATAAACAATATCTACCGCTCTGCCCTCAACCGTCTTTTTCAAAATTATCAATCAAGTTTGTGAGACATGATTTCCCTCCCACAAAGCCATGCTGACTATCCCTAATCAGTCCTTGCCTCTCCAAGTGCATGTAAATCCTATCTCTCAGTATCACCTCCAACAACTTACCCACTGATGTCTGGCTCACCGGTCTATAGTTCCCAGGCTTCTCCTCACAGCCTTTTTTAAGTAAAGGCACGGCATTAGCCAAACTCCAGTCCTTTAGCACCTCACCTGTGGTTATAGATGATACAAATATTTCTGCTAGGAGCCGTGCAATTTCCTGTCTGACTTTTCACAACATTCTGGGATAAACTTGATCTGGTTCCAGAGATTTACCCACCTTCATGTTTTCTAAGACCTCCAGGACTTCCTGTTCTGTAATGTTTCAAAACATCAATATTTATTTCCCTGAGTTCTCTAGCCTTCATTTCTTTCTCCACAGTAAAAACTGATGTGAAATATTCATTTAATATCTCTTCCATCTCCTGAGGTTCAACACAAAGATGACCTCATTGATCTTGAAGTGGCCCTATTCTCTCCCCAGTTGGTCTTTTGCTCTTAATGTACTTGCAAAATCTATTTGGATTACTTTTACCCTTATGTGCAAAGGCTATCTCATATTCCCTGTTTGCCTTCCTGATTTCCCTCTTAAGAATGCCCCTACACACTTTATACTCTTAAAGAGATTCATTTGATCTCAGTTGTCTATATCTGATATATGATTATTTTTTATTCTTGACTAGAACCTCAATATCTTTATTCATTTTTCAGCTCCATCTTATGCACAATCCTTGAAATAACTCCACAGAGGCTGGTATCCTGTCACCCTTTATTTACAGATGAACAGTCCTTGACTTCAGTACTGCCTCTTCAGAGTCAGCTCTCAGTGTGTTGGTATTTCCAACACTTCCCTTTTAATCTCTTAACCAAGGCTCCCTGATTGGACCACATTAGCAGCCCTAATCAGGGAACTCATATTCTATGAGGTTCAGCTGGCTGACCTCATTACAAAGGCTACAGTCCTGACTTAGACCTATGTTGCCAGTCCTTGACCATCGCTGGGGCTAAGAGTTTGAGAATTCTGGACTAATAGACCCCCCTCCCCTTCCCTCTCCCTGTGGAAGCAGAGTAGCAGCAAAGCCAGCATGAAGCAGGTCAAACAGAAATCCAACCAACTCCTCTGTATGGCTAGGGATGAGCAACAAACATGACTTTGTCAGTGACGCTCATACCCTAAGACCGAAGATCATTCACTGGCATCTCGTATTTTACAGCTCAAGGGGCTTGGTGACAGGTCTTGAATCTAACCTCCCAGTTGTGCACCTTCCTGAAGATGCTGGCACTTTGTTGTGGTTGTGGTCTCCATACAAACTGCTTGCCCTCTGGTCTCTTACTCCAAAATGCATTCCAATTTAAAAGACTCGTCAGTAAATTTCTGCAGGATATTTAGCTGCAGTGGGCATCACACTGGTGCAAGTTGTGATGTGATTGTGCCTCCAGGAGGGTATTTTATCTAATGTTTATATTGTTCTCCGTAACCTAAGAATTTCATGACATTGCAGAGCCCAGCAAGCATTTATCATACCTAGCTATTATGTATAAGCATTACATTCTCAGACATATCTGTATGGTCTAACATTAAGATATTAAATCACACAGAGCTGCATGCTTCCAATAGCATGTCATGCTTCAAGTCATCTGTGAGTAAGATGGAGTCTGAGACCCTCAGGTCACATGCTGTAATGCAATGATGGGCATCTCTCTTAAAGGTGCATTTACAGATGAACAGGAATGGCGGGATAATGAGCAGGCATGAAAACCCTGGTCAGTTTTTCCTTTCCAAACTCAAGGCTGCTGTGAGCAATTGTTGTGTCCCCTACTAATGACCAGACAGAAGTTAACTAACCACTGCGTTGGTGAAGTGTAAATGTATTGCAAAACCTCAGGTTATTGTTCTGGGGGCATGGGTTTGAATTCCACCCTGGCAGCCGGTGAAATTTCAATTCAATAAAAACCTGTGACTATTGTCAATTATTGTAATAACCCATCTGGCTCAGTAATGTTCATTAGGAATGGAAATCTGTTGTCCTTATCTGGTCTGATTTCCATGAAGCTCCAGAACAGCAGCAGGGCCAATGAGAGTGCCCACACAGAGAGATATTTTACAGTTTGTAGAAGTGTGAACAAACAACCCAGAAGAGTTAGCCAGACTAATGACCATCACATGAAATGCAGCACCTCCTGAAGACATGTGTGGGCCCAGGGAGAGAGATTGGAATTCATTCAGAGAAGTTAATTACCCATAGCAGGAAGTGGGTGGTGGGTGGGAAAGCAGTCACCTGCTATGGTCTGTAGGCTTGAGGTTAAAAGCTTGTAATCTTATCAGGAACTCCTGAAAAGCTTGTTCGTTCAGAGCTGTGTTGGTGACGCACCTACAGACTGTGCTGATAGTGATCGAGTGGATGCAGTGTGTGTGTGGCTGTACGAGTGAGTCATGCGATGAGGTTTCTAGTCAACAGTTGGGTTAACCACCAGCCTTGCAACATGAGCTGCCGTGTGCAAAAGTGTGGTGTTTGTGCGTGCTCAGTGAGTATTTTATCAAATTAACCATAGCGCAGTGCAGCTCTGAGGAGGATCATGTGTGTGTGTGTCTGTCTGTCTATCTGTGTGGGGCTGTGTCTGTGTGTATGTCTGAGTGGAGGGGACTGTGTATGTCTGTGTGTGTGTGTGTGTGAGGCTATGTCTGTCTGTGGGTGTGTAGGAGTCTGTATGTGT